TCTGCTTCTATCATAACCGGACTCTTACTATGAGTCACAGCTTACTTCTGATCAGCAGATGGAGGTCGTCTTTTAAAGTTTATGACGTCGTCCTTCGAGTTGTCGCTCTTTAGGGACAGACAGCCGGGAGAGTCTGGTCTCTGCTGCTGGACCCTGAAACAGAAACAGATGAATAAAAAAAAAGATCAACTAATAAAATCATACTTTATATACATGCAGGGGTTAACTAAAACCCTGATCCAACTCTTGATCCAGGATCCTCAGATCGATTGCTTTTGTCTCCACCCACATATCTGGAGACTCGCAGTGTTTAAGTTCTCGCTGAGTGTTTGGCTCAAAAGGCCACAACAAAGAGGAGACACACCATATCAACGGTTAGAAAAAGATCTTCATTAAAGCAAGTGATTCAAATAAGCCAAATGAATCAAGTGCAAAACAAGTAAAGCATGAGGTGTGAACGTCAGTGGTATCAGTAATGTAACTGCAGGGTGAGGATTGCATGAACATGTATGTGTGAGGGTGTTGAGGTGCACAAAGTAAAACAACTGAAATAATATCAAACTCAACCGAACCGGGTGCCTGTATGAGAAAACAGAGAGGGAACAGAGAGGAGCAGAGAGGCTTTAAATAGCTGCAGGGCACCAGACCCATGAGTTACTGCAATCAATGCAATCACCACAGCACAGACAGGACAGCCACACCCTCTCTAATGATGAACCCAAAGGGGCATCACACTGAGGAAAAAGTACTTTAACTCTCTGATGTTTTTTTCCCATTTATCAGATATGTTACCAAATATCCGGTTGTCATTATTCCTTAACATCTCTCCAGTTTCTGGGACATTTTGAGTGATTAAGAGTTCAGTCTCTAATATTAGAGAAAAGTAAGAAGTCTTAGATAGATGCCGTGTAACGAGAAAGGGTTTAGACCCGGGCTATTCAATTACAAATGCAGCTGGGCCAGACATTCAGCGGCCTGTAAAAAGCAGGTAATGACACATTTTAAACCAACACATATTACTGCGATGAAAAACAAGCAATTTGTATTCATCGTTCATCTAACAAAGGCACGTCGAAAAGTGCATAAAAACACAACAAATTAGCATTCATTTAACAGAATCTGAGGCATCTCAAAGTGCATTAAAAACAAAAAGTGCACAGTTGTAGCATTACATTTATTTGCTTTGGAAGTAAAAATATTCAAGTTATGTTTTTGAACCAGGCACATCACAAAGTGCATTTAATAATAGCAGTCTTAATAAATGTTTTCATACATACACAATTGGATACATATGACACATGCACATCAAAATGTGCATTAACAAACATTTAAAGAGCTCCAATGTTACACAAAGAGGTAGTACTACAGCAATACTATCTTTTCAAGTAATAACAAAAAAATCATACGTTTTGGTCACATTTGACCCAGACACATTACAAAGTGCATTTAAATGAATACAGAAAGAACTGTCAAACCCTTCAGTGCACAAACCCATAACAAGGGATACGGGTAACTATATGAATGAATACTACACTACACGTCTACTATAGTAAACTAGGTGCTTACTATCACCTCATTTGTGATTTGTCATCGCTGACTTTCTCAATGGGAGAAGGGACATTTTTTGTTTTGAACAAGAGCAGTGATTTTTGGCTCATAGGATGTCAATGCAATCCTAAGACATTGGTGAAGAGTGCTGTCAGTCAGGGAGCAGCGAGTGCTACTTTTGATTGAGTTCATGTGTGAAAAGCTTGATTCACATGTGTATGTTGATCCAAACATACTGAGCACACAGATCGCTACTTTCTGAACGTTAGGGAACTGCTGTTTTTTGACATCACTCCAAAACTTCGCTGGCCCGTCTAGCTGCAGCACGACCCGTATGTGCATGTCAATAAGTTCCAGTGTATATTTCCCCTTGTCGATGCAGGGGACCACTTCCTTTGCTCTGGTTGATACGTCCCCCTCTATTGCAACAGTGAAGGGGTCTCTGGCAAAGCCCATCACCTCTGTGGGCAGAGCAAGTCCATCCAATCGACCGGCAAAGTTGTCTTTCAACCTTGCAATGAAATCTGTCATCACATCTGTGATTTGTGCCGGAGATGTGATGTGTTTGGGGCGCGTCGGAAAATGCAGCATCCGACCCGTGCTCAAGTCGGTCGCGAAAAGGTCCAGCTTGACTTGGATCTGCTCCACAAGATCAATGACCGTTTTGTCTCTGTTTACGCTTCAGAGTTGAGAGAGACATGTTTTAGAGTTGCTATCATAGGACCACCGTTACTAGCACCACTAGATGCACTTTTTTGTGGTTTGGTGGTTTCTATGCAACGCGGAGTGTTGCGTTCATGGTCTGTACTAGTGTAGGAATTTGGCTACGGGAGGCTGGGCCACTCGGGAGTTGGTTCTGGGCCGCATCTGGCCCGCGGGCCGCCAGTTGAATAGGCCTGGTCTAGACAGCCATGCACAAAGAGAACTGGTGGTGATGAACAACTAATATGAGCTGTTGTTAAAGAAAATGAAATGTGTCTTTACATCATAGCTCATTTTGGAATAATAGAAGGGTAGATGGACTTGACTGCTGGAGGAGAATGAGGATATAGCTGTAGACAGACTATTTCCAAGATCAGTTTGTCTTACGCATACGTACAGGAATGCAAAAAGCTATCCATATACGCTGCAAGAATTTCTTTACCTGACCAACATAATCTCACTTATTTCTAGAAGTATCTTCTAGCCATACAGCCCTATTTGTGACCTCAGTACTTTGTAGATGATTCAGTGGGTATATGGAAGAGTACAACCAGGCATAAGTCAAATGCCTAAGTCAAAGGAGTAAAATAAAATGTATTTTACATTTTGATATTAAATCAAACTTTCAGAATGAGTGCTAGGCAAAAGAAACATAAATTGACACATTTTGAGAAAAACGTTTCCACATAAGGTCAAACTTTTTCAAATAAATCAAACTAATAGCGTTAAGGCTGTAAACACAGGATGTGAAAGTATAGTATTCAAATCTAGATTGGATTAATGGTATAATCTTAACAAAATGCATTTTTCCCCTATGGTTTGCTTAAGTTATACTTCTGGTTGCTAGCCATGCAGATAGTTTTCAGTTTCCACATGTTGAGATATCCGAGTATTCTGCCTCGAGCGCAATACAATGGATGTGAATGAATTTCCATTTTGGTGCTTAAAACATTGTAAAATTACATTAAAAAAAAAAATCAACGGCAACAAGAGTGTCCCAGTTACTCTGAATAATCTACTATATTCCATGTGATAGTCCCTAGGAATAGCATTCCTAGGGATAGATTTCCTAGGGACTATTGTTTGATCTAAAAAAGCAGTTCCGATGAAAATTTCTCACATTGAGGTCGGTGGATAATAATATGTAACAGGGATACTGATTCTGAACCATTGTCTCAACCTGGCCAAAATAAACATCTAAAGTAAAAGGATATATATTCTTAATGTTGACCTTTAATAAGTCATGTCTATGAGTGTTTGTTTAACACCAGAAACAGTTTCAGTAATAGGCAAATATTGAAACAAGACTCACAATGTCAAACAATGTCAGACAGGATAATGTTTGCCCGGTCTCTATGTGCTGCAGCTCTGTACAGGCCGGGGACGGCTCAAGGCCTCTTCCCCCAACAATGGCCCATCACCATGCCAACAGAAGCGGTGCCAGCCGTTGTGCCAGTTTGGCACGGACCCCAATGTTAGCAGTGGATGATTCAAGGGCATTAAAGCACAATGTGGGGGGTTCCAGTTTATGGGCAACAGTGCCAGGATTTCCACCAACAGCCCGTCATCCATCGCTCTCTGCTACTTCCCCTCACCTCAATCTGTTTCCTTGTGCTTTGAGCATTAACAATCCATCTTCTGAAAATCGACTTTGCACGCACAGAAGCACCGGTCATGCCTTAATGTTCTATATTTACTCTGTACATAAAACAAGAGCGTCAAATATTCAGCCACAGGTCTCTGTCAAGAGCGGGCATTTTTTGTACTCTCATTAAGGATTGATGAATGAATTATAACATCTTTGTTGATTTGTTAAATTGCTGCCTGCCATTTTTGTCTTTTAAATTAATGCTGTAATGAGTGATCAAGGGGGCATGTGTTTTTCATTTGAATGTTTAACCACCTCCAGCTTAACATTAACTGTCAACCCTTTCTCCTCGCCTTGCAGTGCTCGGAGCAAGTGACTGTGATGGGCTGTCGGACTGCATCTGAAGCACTCTCCCAAAGAATAATATCCACTCCTGACCTACTCTGAAGAACAATATTTGATTCAATCAATGGTGCAGTCTTCCCCCGGAGGGAATTACTCCTGAGTAATAGGTGGTCCCTCAGAAAAGAGCAACAGTGGACCATGTGATACTTGACCTTCAAAGAGAGAACTCAGGTACACTCCAGAAGATGTCAAATTTGATCTGAGGCTGCTCTCGAGAGGATCACACATAATTCAATCATCCTTTTCATGTGTGGTTCAGCATTACTCCAACACGATGGGCCAGCAGTGACGGAGCGCACTTATCAATGACGGATCTTCATTTATCGAGGAGTACCAGACATCTCATCATGGATTTGAAGGAGATTTTCCCCACCAAAGGGCGACTGTAAAACGAAAAAGACTGGAGTGGGGGGAAATCGGACTCTGGGAGTTTGTGAGGATTAGTGTGCTGCTAACCCATGGTGGATCTGCTTTGAGGGGGACGAGGGACTCAGTGGAGGATGTCAGCGGAGGCCGAGCTCCAGCCGGGTGTCAAAACCAGCCAGCGAAGGGAGTCCAGGAGGGTAAAAAGTAAGTGAGACTTTACTGCATTGGTACAAATATTCTGTATATCTAAAATGTAATAAATAAGTGGTGCAGGAATGAGTCCTAAAACCTGGAAATATGATGGCTTTTCAAACTTCCCAGTAACTCGTCAGAAAGTCAACGTTTCTTTGCACATGATTGTGGTTTTAGCCCTGAAATACGGTCTGTGTTTAACAAAAGCTTAAGAGATTTTCATATTTTGTTCTACGACACATTTTAAATGTCCAAAGCTTCTATGTGTCATAAACATATGGCTGTTGCTAACAAGTGAATAAATTAGACTAATCAAAGTACTCGAAAACGAGTCCGCTTTTGGCTTAGCGATATTGATACGCACCCATGAAACTGTGATTTAGTTCATTTTTAAGCTTTTTGTTTGAACGTTGTTGGGTTTTTCCTCTGGCAATTGCATTTAAGCTTCAAATAACAAAAAGTGGTGTAAATATGTGGAGATTATCCTGCTGAACCAAATGTCTAAGTAACGTGTTTGCCACAGTTCTTATCTTATTCAAATTACCAAAATTCTAGTGGAAAAATGTAATCACTGAATCACTTTGGACAATACATCCACCATTATAGTTTTTTGAGAATTTAGATAAAAGTCTAACGTTGAAGGAAAAGTACTTTAGAAAAGGGAGTCGGGACAAAGTGTTTTACTGGCAGCTATCTTATGTTTGGCAGGCAGTGAACATAACTTTTAGTCCTGTTTGTATGGAGCTAAATAACGCTGGACTTCATGGAGAGAAGGCTCGCTCAGTCAGGCCTGCCGAGAGCTCCCTGTCTCATCCCGGGGATCCAGATGTGGTAACAGCTATCGCATGTAGCCCCAGGGTCTGCTAGCTCCCATGATTTAGGTGTCATGGACAGGGTAATTCACACCCTGTCGCTTTGATGAACAGCATAAGTGATGTAATAGGACGAGGCATTCTCCGAAACTTCACCAGGAGATTGAAATGGGATTGAATTGGCTGAGAAGAGTAAAGAGTAGAAGGACTGAGGGGGGAATGAAGAGGATGCGGTTTTCTTTGGCCTCCCTCTCTCCATCCCTTTTTTTTTTACTCATTTCTCCATCCATATATAAAGCCACTGCAGCTAGTCCAGTAAATCTGGCTTCTGCGGGATGGCTGAAACGAGGCCGTGGGGCCAGGTCCTCTGTGGCTGTTTCACTGTCGGCTCGCTTAGATAAATGGCCAGGCTGGAGGAGGGCCCATTGATTTGAGTTAAGTGAAAGGGGGAGTGCAGAGCTAGAGGGGGGCTTTCACACATGTGGCCATGCGACGGGCTATCAGCACAGGCTATCAGACCCTGACTTTACCACGTTAATCACATGGGCTGCAGGGACCATTGTCGCAATCAGTAAGGGTGCTATTTAGAGCCATATAAATGGAAATGGAGCAACATAAATGCAGGCAGACTGTCAGACAGCTATGCTAGTAGTTGTTTGTGAGCAGGCTGGGGCCAGTTGAAGGACTCTACTGAGGATAACGATGATGACATGTATTTAGATAAAGCACTATTCAAATTTCTGGGAATCAACACTAAAAGTTGATGAAGAAGAACGGTTTATTTCTCATCTCGTAAACAATAGAGAACTGAAGGAAGGAGTATGAAACCCGGGATATAGAACTACCTGTTCCCTTGACTCGAAGTCTTGGTTTTTGGTTATGTGCCTGAAACATGGTCTGATAGTCATTAAACACGGAAAGCAAATATTTCGCCGCAAAAAATGGAGATCATTGCCTTTCGGCCATTTTGTACCACAAATATAAAAAGGCGTTAATCAATCAATGTGTGGGGAACAGTTGGAGTTGAGTTTATATTCGAGGGGATTATAAAATGACAACATGGATACTCCCTAGTCCAAAGGAACACGGCAAACGTTCTAACTCCTTTCAATCTTGAAAGAGGCGACATTATTCCAGATCCCATCCTTCCGTTCTTACCTTTCACAATAAAAGCCCTATACATATGTTAAGTATTTCACATTTTTTCAAGCCTCTCAGTATGACAAGGCCTTTGGATACTTTTGGGCAACAAACCATCGTTTCCGATTTAACATTACTGAAAAAATAGCAGTAAATATTTGATTCCATCTCTGCCAAAAGCTCTACCTAAATTGTACACACTGCTGCTTGTGAAAAATATGTACTATTCTACTACTTTTACTAGACAACCTTTCTTGTGCTTTGTTTTAGGGATTTCATAGCACTTGTCATTCCTTTCAAAATCTGTTTGGAAAATTCCAACCTCACAGCAGGCTCTGAATGCCATGGTAAAGCCAGAGCTCCCCTCCAACTATCAACATAATTGCTTTACATGCGTGACTTTGCTCTATCTCCATAGCAACTGTTGCTCTCCCACTGTAATCTGTGCGCAAAAAAAAATTTCATTTCATAAAGAAAGACAAGGAATAGAGGACAGAGAGACATTGAAAGAGAGAAGTCGGAGAACGCTGGTGATGCGGCGAACAGAAAATGAAATGCAATCGTCAGTCACCTCTCATTCTGAATGAATGACATTGGGAAGATTGTAAGAGACAGTACAAATAGTAACCATTTCACCCTATTCAAACACGATTTCCCATATTTGACCAAATCAGTCGGGTTTCATAATCAAACTGCTCATTCCACTGCTTTATAATGAGTGTTATAATGGCATCGTTGTGGAGCCTCTACCTAAAAAATTATCTTGCCCATTTCCAACCACTAGAACACATCAATGTATAGTCTACTGCGAATGGTCGGCCCAGTACATAGACAATGTACACAATGACCCTCATTACCTTTGTAAGTGCTTTAACGATTAGTCGATGAACGATCGAGGACCTCGATTTGCTGTTGAATGTCAAAGTTGGGTGGAGGAATTTTGACATTGGTGTTGGGTGAGGGGCGTCGTACTGCTGTTGGCAAATCTGCACGTTTGCAGAGGCTTATGGAAGTTATTTCATGCACATGGGGGAGGCAGATGGCAGGGACAGATTTGCCTTCCCTGCTCCAAAAGGATATAAGTAGGATTGTCATTTTTAACACAAAATAACGGTTAACATTACAGATTTACCGAATATCTTTTTAAGCTTTTATTCTGTTCTAAGATAAAAATCCTTGAAAAACATTTTAATAAAATTATTCATTTTGATTGAATTAGTTAGTCTCTTTATTACCATTTCTCTTTAAAAAAATAACTAATCAGTGACATGCCTCCCTCCATGTCCAACAGACGGCAGTGCACATGTTTAACCGCAATAATAAAAGTATTTTTTTTCAACATTAAAAATAATTAAAGAAATAAATTATTGTACATTTAGCTTTTTGACGTTGAAAATGTTTGGAACAAGCAAGTCAGAAGCAATCATCCATTACTGGAATCTATTCCATCAAATGGTATAATGCTAATAGTAATCGCATAACCTTGCTTAATCTAAGACTGCATAAATAGCGGCTTTAAACACAATAAATTGAATATATGAAAAAAGAGGAACAAGTGATTGGTGATTACGTATCTGAATGTCAACAATTTGAATGAGCTGAACTATTCAGAACAGCCCTAGTTAACATTAAACATGCATGTACGTGAACTCAGAATTAGCAGGCATTGCAATACATTCAGTCTCATTTTATCTTAATGCATTGCATGTGGCCTTGTAACAGACGGATATTGACAGGAAGAGACGAGCAGACACAGATAAACACTCGGAGCAGTTCAAGGTTAAGCTGCTTCGATGCCCAGATCCCCAACAAAAAGTTTCCCGCTGCCAAGTCCTTATATCTAGAGGGGCACTTCTGACTCTCCATCTGCTGCCATCTGTGCCTTCACTGTCCCCATTCTAGTGTGGCAAGGAGGAGGATGCAACACTGTGATCAGAGACAAGCCCTGTAACAGTATGGAGCAGGGCGAACAGTAATTGTTCTCTCCATGGTCCTGGTGCAGGGCCTGTGTTCAGGTGGCTGGCCGCAGCATTTGTTTCGAGGCACGTCTGATGTCCTGGCTGGTAAATCTCAGCTGCAGTTTTGGAAGTTTTGGCTTTTCCCGTCTTTATTAGATTTCACCAAATGAGGTCAATGGGAAATATTAATGGGTATTGTTGTTACAAAGGTCTTAGAAATAGTAGTGCAGTGATGTAATATATTTCTAGGCCAAACTGGTATGTAACATTGCATGAGCTCCCTCAACAAAAAGCAATATGATTTTTCCATTGGATCATGGAATATTGCAGAAAATAAGATTTCTGGCAAAAACACGTTTTGTGATTCTTACAAGTTTTGGTCAGCAGGATAATCTCCACATATTGATGCCACCTTTATGATTTCTGATGCATAAATGCAACTGCAAGATGTAAAAAGATAACATTATGCTATAAACAAACGACATCACGGTTTCACGGCTCGCATCCCAACAGCTAAACTAAAGGCGGCTAATGTTTGGCGTGCTAATTTTAGTAGTCTTATTTAGCAACTTGCTAGCAGCCGTCGTTTTGAGGACACGTAGAAGCTTCGGACATTCAGCCGGACATTACTGACGTATTTCATGTTGTAGAAAAATACTTGAGGATCTCTTAAACTTGTTTTAAACCGCATATCTTATTTTGGACATATAACCATACAAAAAAAAAAAGAGGTTGATTTCGATACAAGTGAACCGGAAGTGGTCAAATGCTAACTCATTACCACATTTTAGGACTTATTTCTGCACCGTTATGACCTCTGCATCTTGGACCACCAGGGCTCCTGTATGGCAGGCATGTTGTCCGATGTGTGGGATGCACTTAGACGCAGAATAATAGTACACAATGCTTTAGGCAGCCCTCTGTCAGACAAATTATGAGCGTCAAGCTTATGGGCCAGAAATATTTTGAGGACCATTCAACCTTGGGTAATTGTAAATCCAGAAAGCCAGAGTATGTATCACCCCCAACTCCCCTCACCCACACACAGACATACACACAGACATACACACAAACACACACACACACGCACACACGCACGCAC